AGTTCCGGTTATTCCGGTTAAGTCCAAATATCATGTCAGGTTCAGTAGAGCATCTTAACATAATTAATTAGTTAAGTTAACATTCTGAGCATAGTCATTAGAAATTGTTTTTATTATATTTCAGTTTTATCAGGTCACGAGTGTCAGCACTACCTTTACTTTCACGGATCAGGTGGGGACTCAGACTAAGTACTACATTGATTATAATTACGGTACCATGTTTGAGCTATGTATTTCATGTCATGTATCCGCTCGGAATGGTCGCCGGTCCATTCTGGGTTCTAGTGGCCCTAGTCTGCCCACTAGAGTGTGCACATGGTGTCCGACATTAGTTTGTGCCGGCAGATGAGGTAACGGTCATGGTTCACGTTCACGTGATGATATCAGATTCATGTTCATGTTATTACCGGTTTCATGTTCAGGTTATGTATATGCCAAGATCATGATGTTGTTATTATTTTCAATGCTTACATTAGTATGAGTTTCCACGGAGCACAGTGTTATAGTGCTCACGACCCACTCTTATCATGTTTTTCAGGTCAGGAAGTCGGGCTGGGAGCGTGTGATGATGGATGCCTCAGGACTTTTAAGATATGATTGTATATAATTTAACGATTTTACGTTTCCGCTGACTTTGACGTTGATGAACTTATATTTTGACCGGACTTTTGGAAAAATTTATGCTTTTAGTAAACCGTATGATTTTGTTAAAATTAAAATAACGGTTTTCCAAAATAAGTCACGTTTTACGGTAGCACCCCGAATCAGTTTTCGCAAAGTAAAAGATTTTATTTTTAAATAACTTTGCGAAATTTTCGCACTCTGATTTCACGATAAGGCGGGGTGTTACAACCTTTCTGTCCAACACGACGAACCATACAATCTACAATGTAAGACGAAAGAATTATGATTGCATGAATGAATAAACTGCAAACATAAGTACTTTGACTAAAACATGAGGGCCAGATTAAAATAGAATTGCTAGAATTATGATTGCATGAATGAATAAACTGCAAACATAAGTACTTTTGGACAATATTTGCATTTAGCCTTCTCTTTATATTCAAAGACATCCTCAATCAACCCCGATTCTAGATTCTTAACTGTTCAAATATTTATAAACCAATATGTAGTAAAATTTTCCCAAACCGAGGACCTATAAACCCTAGCCTTCATACCTGGTGGACGCTCATATAGAATATTTGGTCGGGTTGACATATTTGTGAGTTGCACCACCACAAGCACGAGATTTGAAGCACTGCTCGGTGTTGGTAGAGTTTCCATTGTCCGTGAATGCCTCCCAGCTGCATGAATTTCTGTAGATGTCCCGCATGATTTACTTTTGTCCATGGTATTTGGGAATAATTAGGGTTTTTGATTTTTTGATTGAGAATGTGAGATTTAGGATTTTAGCAGAGAGCCATATACATTGAACTATGGTTTTGATTCTGACTTTGGGAACAAAAATTGAGAAAGATGGCAATGGAGATTTGCCGATTTGATTTGAGAAATTGGTGGGAAAAATGGGAATGAGATTGTGAGAATGTGAAATTGGTTGGGAATGAGAGAATTGAAAAACAAAAAAGTGAAATGTGAACTTCACAGTTCAACCCCCGTAATCAATAATGCCTTAGCTGATTGCCTTTACAGTCCGTCAATTGACTTGTACATTTGGGCCAAATAAAGGGGTAATGCATAATAGTTTTTTTTTTTTTTTTATTAATTTTTTTGAGCTAGAGGATTCGGAATTTGGGCTCTAAAATATAAGTCTGTATGAAATGAAGCAAGATGCAAGAAGTTCAAAAACTATTGTTAATAATTTACTATAATACTAACATAAATATAACAATAATAATTTATAAAATGTATATATAATATTTTTTTGTATGATAGAATAAA